TGATGATTTGTGTCAACTATTGTTGTCTTATTTGCCGATCAAAGAGCGGTTCCGATACGAAGAGGTGTCCAAACAGTGGCAGAGAGTTATATATGAGACACAAACAGAGATCACATCAGAAATATCTCGCAAAATAAGTGACAAAACATTTGCATTAATAGTAAAAAAGTGCACAAATATCACAACTATTGGAGACATCGCAACGACCGCTAGTTTGGAGGCAATTATCAAAGACTGCCATAAATTGCATACAATTTCGTGTTATTCTTATCGATGGGATGAAAACGAGACAATAGTTGAGAAGTTTTACACCAAGTTTTCGAAACAATTAAAATTGATTCATATATACGATGTTTTGGGCGACGGATTGATTGAAACGAAACGCAAATGTTGTCCTAATTTAACCAAAATTAAAGGTTGCGATCAATTGAATGCATTGATTGGTAATGGAAATGAGATTTTGTTTAAGAAATTACAAAAAGTTAGGTTTTGTTTTGCAAATGAAAACAGCGATAGTTTTAAAGCATTTGTGAGAATATATGGCAAACAATTGAAAGCAATTCAAGTCTCGTCTGACGAGTCATTAGAAGACAATTCAATACTAATTAATTGTTTGTCACAAATGAAGGCATTGATTAATATTAGTATTGAAATGAAGTACATCTTAGACATTGAATCTGCGGGTCAATTGATACAATTGGCTATTAATTGTCCGAAACTCAAGAGATTATCACTTCATTTTTATGGCGCTTCAAACTACACTTTTTATTCAATAATTAACACAATTAATGATTACTTCACTCATATAAAGCGTTTAAAAATCACCGGAAATTTTTGCGAAGAGTTTGCATTAAAAAGGGAATCGTTTAATAAATGCGAACAATTAACACATTTAGTACTTAATTCATATGATGAATGTTATTTTAACGATGAATTTTTCACAAATATTGCCTATAATTTACCGAAACTCCAATATTTATCCATTAATTACATTGAAATCACAGAAAATATATTGAATTCATTGTCATTATTGCCTAAAATACAGACAATTAAACTCTATGGAGACGTAAAGTCCGCACAAATTGATATCTCTTGGAGATCTCCGAAACGTATTGGCGTTTATATTAATCCAATCCTTTGTATGAATTAATATTAATTTAAAACTAATTGCAATTACTATTCAATTATTGTAATCCTATATCTGATTGCAAACTATAAACTCATTAATATTTTTATTAAATTAATCAAAACTTAATGTTAACTTATTTTTGTAATCATTTTAATTGAAAACTTTATTAAAAATTAAACATTTGTTTGCATTGAACTATAAATTGTGTTTAAATAGTTTTGTTTGACTTATAAGTAGTGTTTTAATATTCGTATTGAAATGGAGTACATCCCAGACATTACATTTGCGGATCAATTGAAGCAATTGGCTATTAATTAATTAAAACTATGGCCACAATTAGTGTTATGCAAATAGACTAGGAATTGTTCAAAATAACTACAGTATCTAGTTTATTATTTTAAAATATTTTTTAATTAAATAAGATAATTTGATTAAATATTTAATACATTTATCGCTTAATAATTACCAATAAATGTGAAAACATTTAAGATTTAATTTTCTAATTGTTTGAAGCGATGATGTCTTTCGCAAATCTCCTTAAAAAGTGGCGATTTATTTAAATCCATAGGATTAGAGATGTTGATTATCATTTCACCTATTTCATTTAATTGTTTTAAATTCGTTTTAAATCTCAATAGCTTTGCGTTCATCAGTAAATCGGACCGATATTTTATTTGCAAATATCGTTGTAATAAATAAATATAGATATTCTGTTGGTGTCTGTAATTAATTAAAATTTATAATTATAATTATGTATAAAACCACAACCGATAAAACAACTCACTTAATTGTATGTTTATGAATAAGATTTGGCCGAGTGGGATTATACAAGATTATACTAGTTAGCTATAGTTGGAAATAAGTAAATTAATAAACAAAGTACTATAAAACTATGTAAAGTAAATTTTTTTTAAAATTACCAAATTAATGATCATTGGGTCGGAATCGTAGTCGAGACCAATATCTCGGATAAAGTCTAACATTACATTGTCTTTTTGAATATCAAATTGAGAACGATCCGGGTAATCATCAAACATATCCAGTTTTAATATATACTTGCGATTATTCTGTTCAATATAAATGTATGTTCATTATGGTGAAAAGTGTCCCTCTGATGATCACACTTACCGATACAATAGTAAAACAATTATCATGGTAATTGAAATTGAGAATACCCCTGAGCACACCGATCTCCATCGAGCCGTACGTAATCAATACAATGCGATCGTTTTCGCACAGAGCGTTAAACGTGGTCAAACATTTGGACATTTTGACAATGTTTGCAATTTGCAAATCATTTTTCATGATCATCGCATTCTTGGCGTCCCATTCATTGGTCAGTACTATAGGGGTGTCGGTGTCGGCGGTCGGAGCGATCATACTATTGATGGCATTCAACAATTCGCGCAACTTTTGTACCTCTAATTCATTAAAATTTGGGATACAATCGCCGATCGGTCTTACGATTGGCACAACTGATAGCTCGCACTTGTATGCCGTGGTGTCAGAAGCGTAACCCATGGACTCATTGTCTGATACATGGCTTTCTTCGTTGAAAATCTCGGCGATTATAGCGTCGGCCTCTGAGGACAGGCTCGACGTCGAGACCATACTATCCTCACTAATGCCGTCGCTTTTAGGGCTCATAGTCTCTGTGTTTTTGTTTCTCACTTTTCTCATCCGCTTTTGCTCTTCGGTGTGAAAGAAATCCTAATAATAAATAATAATAACAATTAGTTTACTAAATATATGATTAATTTGCTGTCAATTATACTTACGGTTGACATTCCGACAGAGAAACACTTGTCTAAACGGCATTTTTTGCATGAGTTTCTGGTCTCAATGTTTATAATACAATTGTTGCCCAAATAGCACCTAAAGTGATCCTGGTCACATCCATGTTTGATCAGTTATAAGTAATTAATATTGACTTATAATATTATTATATTTCAAATGTTTACCGATTTTTTCTGTGAATTTCTACGAAAAAATGATTTACACGATTCACATGTGATTGCATTGAAATGAAACCCTGTTTTAAAATACAATTTATAAATAAATTATATTTGTTAACAATTATTATGTTTTAATTACCGATTGATTTGTCGCCACATATTTTACAAATCTTGATTTTATTCGACATTGTTTTGAGTTTTGTGTGTTTTGGTAGACATGAGTAAATAATCAATAAATTTATGATGAAATTGTGTGAAACTTTATTAGAATATACATGTATGATGTAATCAATAGACTTTGACAATGTTGCATTACATAATGTTAAATAGTATTATGATAGAATCCATGAATATCGCCAGAGTTGATATTTTACATAGTTTATAATATTTTATATTAATCAAACTAATTTTAAAAATGCCAACCAAATTATGTTACATTGATAAATCACTTAATTAACGATAATTTTAAATTACTATGGTGACAGATTGTGCATTATAAAATCAAGGTCATTATAAAAATATTACAATAACATTAAGTTTATGACCGACTCTTTGTTTTAACAGTAAAGAACTCATAGAAATAATATTGTATTCAAAACTGGTTTGTTATTTAACTTCTATGGCTAAAAAGGTTGGATATAAGTTTGACAATTTCACACATTGTAAACTGTGTTTATTTTAACTAGTGACAATTTAGACATTTTTTATATGTGATAATCAATAATAATAACTGTAATTAAAATACAATTATGAATTAACTTACAAAAATAACGTTATCAAAAAACAAACTTTATAAGTTATAAAGTTATAAGTTATAAATTATAACTTACTTACTTAGGTTAGAAATAATTATTTTCTGTTTATAAATTGTTTATATATAAAACAATATATATTTATAACAACGATTATGATTAGTTATAATTATAAATTAAATACTTAAATATAGCATTTGATTCAATTCCTGTCGCAAATCTCCTTAAAAAGTGGTACTGAACTCAAGTCCGTGTCTTTCATCACATTATTCACGTTATCGTTAATTAAATGCAAAACTTTTAAACTATTTAAAAGTTTCAATACTTTGCAATTTGATAGAATTTCTGAACCAATTTTCATATTTATATAACGTCTTAATAAATATATGTAAATATTCTGTTGATGTCTATTAAATAACAGACAAAATATTAATAAGAAAGTTACAATTAATTTAAATAATAGCATAAATTATTTACAAATTATGCAAATTTTAAATAACTCACTTGACCATGTGCCTATTTATTAGTTGTGGTCTATTGGGATTAAATAGTATGATTGCTGTTAGCTATCGTCAAATGATTGAGGTAATAAAAACAGACAAATTAATTTGACATACAGTAAATCATTGCAAAATTCATACCAATTCAATAATAAGTAGATCTGATTCCCAATTAACATCAATATTGTACAAAAACTTTGTGAAATAACTATAGATATCAGGCTTTCCTATTCTCGCAAACTCTCTGAATAAATCCAATTTTATTTCGTATAATTTGTTATTCTGTTTAAAATTAAAACAAATAATAATATTGTTTTTAATGTTAAAATTATTTGTTACTAAATAAATCTATACATTAATTACTGTCCAATACTTGTGATGAAAATTAAAACATAAAACCATTCGCAAGATCTCGATCTCAATCGATGAATACTTAACCAAAACTATTTGATCGCTTTGGCAAAGAGTGGTGAACGCATTCAGGCATTTAGACAACTTTACCACGTGTTTAATTTGAGTCTCATTTTTGTGGGTAAGTATGGGTAAAGTGTCGACCAATCTGTCAATACATATGCGATCAGTGATTGCGACCGGAGTTTGATAGACCTTCAGGGCGTCCAACAGTTCACACAATCGATTGCTCTCTAATTCATTGAATTGATTGCTGTAATCAGTGATGGGTCTCATGATTGACAACTCGTATGCGTTTATCAATTGATTTTGTAGTGAATCTCCCGATTCTGTGATCATATCATTCATGGCATGAATATTGTGACTGTCATTGTCTGAAGAATCAGTCAAAACAATTAAATCTGAATTAAACAACGATTCTTGCGATAAATCGGTGGTTATGTCGACCATTGGGTGTGCCCTCCCGGCCATGGCTTTGCGTTTTCTGTTTTCAGTCACAATCTGTTTGCGAATATCTCTTTGCTTTTCATTGTATATTAAACTCTAAAAAATTATATGAATTCATCGTTTATTTAATGTAAATTAAAAACATGTTTTATTATAAAATAATAGCCGATTCCTAATTACCGTTTCCATACCGGCGGCCAAACACTTATCCAAACGACACTTTTTGCAATGTTTCCTATTATCAACAGTTATCTCACAACTGTTTCCCAAATAACAATAAAATGTGTCCTAAAATATTTTTAAATTAATTAAAATTAATTTTCAGTTTAGGTTTAATTATATTTTACTCCATTTTTCAGCGCATTTCGCCTAAAAAATGATTTACATGATGCACAACTAAATGCTCTAAAATGATAACCTGGATTAAAATAATAATAATTATAAATAATTTGCTTTTAATTAATCAATTATTTAAATTCACTGACCGTTCGCTACATCTCCACAAATGTGACAATATTTTTCATTAAAATCATTTGACATTTTATTTTTGTAAACAATTTAATTTAAAAATAAAGACTTTTGTATTGGTATTTATAATTAACTCTAACTTGTTGTTTATACTCAACTAGATTATCAAATAACCAAATATACTAATGCAGTCATTTTTTGAACCAGATTATTGGTAATTGATAATCACCATGGTTTAATACTGTAGTACTGTAATGTAATTGTATTAATAATTAAAGATCATGTAAAATATATCAGTTTTATTTTATTGTAAATTATAAATTTTTAATATGGTTTAATCCAATAAATATACTCAACACTTAATTACAATCTCAATGATACAATATATAAAATCCTATACTTATAAATTATAAGTTATAGTTATTAATCGCAGAGTTCATGAAAAAGTGGCAAAGAGTGTACAACTAGTTGTGAATTAGACGCTATATTATCACGAATTATATTTAGATTTCTTAAGTTATTTAATAAACGCAAACATTTGCCTCGCGATAGGAAATTAGATTTTAATTTCATTTGTAAATAGCGTTGTAATAAATAAATGTATGTATTTTGCTGATACCTATGAATAAATATTTAAAATCATTTAACTTTATTTTACAATCAGTAGAATTTAAAATAAAATACTCACTTAATCATTAGTTTATTTTTGAGATTTGGTTGATCAGGGTTAAATAATATAATGGCAGTTAACTGTAGATTAATTTATATTAATAGTAATTTAGTTAGTAAATTAATTTAAATAAATGTTTTATCACAAACCAAATTAATGATTAAGATATCTGATTCCCAATCGAGACCAATATTCACCAAGAAACTCTTGTGATAGGTATAGAAATTAGCCGAATTAGGCAATAGATGAAACTTTTCAAATAGATCCAATTTTACAGAATATGATGTGTCATTTTTCTATATTAAATATACACAAGACAATTAATTGCAATTTACATTTATATGTTTAATATACCCACATCAATTATCGTAAAATAATTGTGCTGAAAGTTATAGTCCAAAACCAGTCTCAATATATCGATCTGAAGGGCAGAGTTTTTAATCAAAATTAAGCGATCGTTTTCACAAATACTATTGAAACTATGTAATTGTTTGGACATATTTATTGCCCTCTTAATCCTATTGTCAATTTCGCACACTATTATATTCAATGCCTCGAAAGGGTTGTCAATGTAATTGTTGTTATTATTGTTCACAATTTGATGTTCAAAACACTTGACGGCAGACAACAATTCAGTCAATCGATTGCCTTCTAATTCATTGAAAGTATTGCTGTAATCACTGATCGGTCGCACAATTGGCACAACTGATGTGATTAAGTCATTGATTGCGATATTAGTATTTTTCTGATTGCAATTAATTTTACTCTCATTATTCTTTCTTAAGTTTAAAATGTCTTCGCTTTGAGTACTCGATGGCAATGAATCGCTGGACAGGTCTGACAGTTGAGGCAAATCGACTACAGGTGTGCTCTCGGCTATAGACCCGTGTTTTCGTTTCCTATTCCCCGCTATAATAGTGTTTCTTAACTGAATTTCTTCGTCCGAATAAAACAAACTCTAAAACAAGTAATCAATAAATCATTTGCAAAATATTTGTTTTAATTTTCATACAGTTTTCATTCCGACGACAAAACACTTATCCAAACGACATTTCTTACAAAGAGTCCTGTTTTGAACATCAATCAGACATTTGCCCCCTAAATAACACCGGTATTTATTCTGTGGTATTAATACACATTGTATTAGTTTACTGTATAATAATGTTTACGCCATTTATACCACATTTTTCACTGCATTTCTCCTAAAGAATGATTTACACGATTTACAGCTCAAGACATTGAAATGATTTCCTAATTGTAATCATAATTAGATTAAACATTATATATATTTTTTAATTTACCATTCGCTTTGTCTCCACATATTAGACAATTCATGTTAATTTTGTCCATTAAATATAGAGCAGTAAAGAGTATTTCATTCCTAAGGAATTTAATCCTATTAATTAATTAACCATGTTATTAGAAAATTTTAAAATTATCTACTTTACACTTTAATGCTACAATTAAATTATTAAACAAAGGAGTATTTAATAATAGTGTTTCCTTGGTAATTATCACATTTTCTATTTATTAAATGTGTTTACACGTGATTATCTAATTATGCCCTAATCATTTATATATTATATTTTATCACTTTTTAATGGAATTAAATAATGTAATTTAATAAAATAATTTTAAAAAAGTAAAAAAAATACAAAAAAGTAAAAAAAAAATACAAAAAAAGTCTACGACACCGGGTATTCCCAGGTGGTCTCCCTCCCAAGTACTAACCCGGCTCGACGCTGCTTAACTTCGGTGATCGAACGAGAACCGGTGCTTTCAGCGTGATATGGCCGTAGACATCAATCAATACACCTGTACTGCTATGCATTGCTATCTTGTATAGCATTAACATATAGTGATTGTACGCATGCGTACAATAGCTATAATAGCAATGCATAGCAGTACAGGTGTATGGGTTGATGTCTACGGCCATATCACGCTGAAAGCACCGGTTCTCGTTCGATCACCGAAGTTAAGCAGCGTC